AGATTATTTTTCATTTCTCAAAGGGAACTGGCATATGTATTAATAACACTACCTACTTTAACCACAAAATACAATTATTTAATAAATGTTTCCACATAGCTTTCAGATCACAAAATAATTAAAAGCATCTTTAGCAGTATTATATAAATAAGCTAGTAATAAAAAGTTAAAAGAGGTACAGCAAAGGCATGAAAATGTCATGTTGTTTATGTACCAGTACTATTCTAAGTTCTTCACAAAGTTGTTCCACACAAATAATCATATAAATTTGTTATCATCATTGATAATAATGACAAACACTGCCAGAATTCAGAATTTAAATACTTGTCAAAGAGCATATAGCTAAAAAGAGGCAAAACTAGAATTACACCCACTTTTGACCACTATCTTTCCACAAAATCAGACTGTCTTCTTTTACAGCTACAAAGTGCTTTGACATAGCTGTTAAGAAAATACCTTATACCTTTCCTGAAAATACCACATACTTACTTCTCTAAGCTTTCCAAAGGTAACAATTCTACATGAAATGCCTTAATCCCCATCTATATGTAAAAGATATGTCCTACAAAAAAGAGTTTAAATACATTGTGCTGGACAATCTCAGGATAAAAATGCCCCTTCAGAGGGAAATGCACGGGACTATGGTGGTGGCACAGGGGTGATTTGGTGATGGGAAAACCGCAGGGATTACAATCGAGATGGAAAAAAAAAATGTGCAGAATGATGTAAAAATAAACTTTGTAATAAATAATAAAAAAATATCATAATAGCTATCAAAAAAAAAAATGCCCCTTCACCTGAATCATAACTATGTAACTAGTCATATATCACTATCATAATGGCTAAAGATATTTTTCCTAATGTGTCATAACTATAACTCTAACAGTTCTTAATACTGTAAAACACTGTAAAAATTGCAAACATTTATCATCTATTTCTTTTTTTTTTTTTTTTTTTTAAGATTTATTTATTTATTCATACAGAACTGGGGTACAGGCCAGAGGCTCAGGGGCGGTGAGAGGCTTCACCAGAGACAGAGTGGGGAACAGAACAGGCAGATCGACGAAGTACACTGCTGAGGGGAGCAGCGGGCGGGTCAGGAGAGGTCTGGCTCGCCATGTGGTCTCCTCCGGGGCAGGCAGCAGGCGGGAATCGAACTCATGCGGAAGTGGCTTCAGATTCTCAGTGCTGTGCTTTAACCCGCTGCGCCACCAGGGAGGGCCTATCATCTATTTCTTATAATTAACTTAATTCCTTTAAAATCCTGGTGAGATAATAATCATCGTTATCATTTCTCTTTTATGGGAATTTAATGTCCACCCATTAAGCTGAGTTTTGAGTCACGATCCAGGTTTATTTGGTTTATTTGATTCTTTGTTGCACCCAAAGGTATTGAGGCAATTAGCACATAAGTGCCAAAATTTTTTCTGAAAAACATTTTAGAAATGTCTCTTTTTGAAAAAAACCAAATTGTGTGAAATTTCATGCAGTTATCTTGCTTATTTTCTGCTAAACAGGAAATCCTAAATTTTAAATACAAGTCATCAAGAATTAAAAGTATTTTATGGTTCTGAAAAAGATCTATAGCTTCAGATCAAACAGATTTCTTAAATTATGGAACCATTTTTCACTGAAGATTATTTTCCATCTTTCCCATCAAAGATTGAAATGAAGAACTTAAGCATTCTTAGGAGCTGGGAGACTGAATGTTAAAACTTCAGAAAAAGCAGCAAAATAATTACTGATTCATTTCTGGGTCTACTTTGGTCTAGTTTTATTGCAACACTAAGATTTTCCTAATGTGTAAAAAATAATCAATGTCTTCCTCTAGTATGCAAAGAAAATCACATGAAGAAACAGTGATTGTGTCATTTCTATAAAATTAAACCTTAAAAAAATTATATTGGGCCCTCCCTGGTGGCACAGTGGGTTGGAACACTGCACTAAGAAGTTAAAACCACTTCCCCATGATTTCGATCCCCACCTGCCCCAGAGATGACCACATGGCATGGCAGACCTCTCCTGACCCGCCCGCTGCTCCCCTCAGCAGTGTACTTCGTTGATCTGCCTGTTCTGCTCCCTGCTCTGTCTCTGGGGAATCCTATCACCCTCCACATCTCTGGCCTGTACCCCAGTTCTGTATGAATAAATAAATAAATCTTTAAAAAAAATTATCTTATCCTCAGCACTAAAAAATCATAATACTTAGATCACTAAATGAAAGATTCATACTATTCAAGATACTATCTATTTTGCTGAGATATCATTTAAGACAAAATCTTAGAACATATTATATTATCACCATCATGAAGCAAACTTGTGACTGATTTTAGGTGAAATTATGCTGTCTCTATAATACACTTTCAAGTTACTCAGTTAAATATATTTAATTAGAGATAAAGTCAACATGACAAAATGTTAACAGCAAACTAATATGAAGGGTATACTCACCCACGGCATGGTTGTATCAACTTTCATGTAGATTTAGTTTTTCAAAAGAAAATTTGAACACCTTACTCCATTCATTTGGAAAGCTAAGATGGGAAGGCATCACTTGAATGATTCCCACCCCCCCAGTATGCGTGAGTCTTTCAAAATCAAAGAGCAGAATCTGAAGTATTATGCTCTACTGTTTCAAAACGTATACTCCAAAGGTGTATAGTCAAGATAACATTTCTGATGGCATTCAGATTTTTCATTTTTCTCATCACTAACTCAAAATACAAAGGCATATTAATTGCTACTGTTTTCTGGGTATGAGACACTGTATAGATCTACATTCTGGTCACCTAATTTTTCAAGTGGTCACATCATTTCTTTTTAGCACACATACTAGTGGCCTATCAGGATCAATATCAAGGTATCTTTGACATTCAAAATAAGTATCAACTAGATGAAAATTTTTTCTGAGATTTCACTAGGCAGGGAAAACAAAATTATAAGCAATACTATCTTCCCTTGTACCAAGAACAGATTCATATCTGAAACCAATTTTTTCCAAATGTAAAGAAAAATATCTACTAATATTCTATACTGAGGTTATTTGGTGGTGTGATGTTAAAGATGTCAATTCTTTGCACCTGATTTTGTAGTAAGGCGATAAAGAAATACTATGACTTACACCTGCTTTTGCTTCAGAAATATAAATTAATACTCTTTTGTAGTTTAGTAACTTATAGCAATCAACTTTGACACATTATGCTGTGCTTGCTCAGAAAATGGCCATAGTAGCAAAGAAGTTGCCTTGCTTAATTTGCGTGCAACAAAAGTTTCAATGATTTCATAACTAGACTTCACAAAAAAGCCAACACTTTGTCTGTAAAGACTAGAGAAAAATAGCTCACTAGTTCTGTAAAGTCAAGTTTTCAGGTATCTAATATTATACTATCCCTTTGAATATTCTTTTTAGTTGCTTAGACAAAATTCAGTACACATGCAGATTCATCTGTCTGAATATCATACTACACTGATTACCATTCAAACTGAATATCATACTACACTGATTACCATTCAACTTTAAAATGGTTTGGAGATTTTTTTTTTTTTTTAAGATTTATTTATTTATTTGTACATGCCAGAGATACCAAGGGTGAGAGGATTCACCAGAGACAGAGTGGGGTGTAGAACACAGTTCGATGAAGTACACTGCTGAGGGGAGCACCGGGCGGGTCAGGAGAGGTCTGCATCCCCATGTGGATCTCCTCCAGGGCAGGCGGGGATCAAACTCATGCGGAAGTGGCTTAAGCTTCTTTTTGCTGCGTCTTAACCCGCTGCACCATCAGGGAGGGCCCAGTTTGGAGATTTTTTAAAATATTGCTAGCAGTGGTTAGTAGTACCTGATATTATTTAAAATTACAATGAACCAGTTTTGAAGAATTAAGCTATATTGTGAATTAAGTATGTGATGGAAACTAACAGTAAGAAGATTCAGATATTTTAAAAAAAAATAAGCTTGTTTCTCCTGGAAAAGCAATCTGAAAGCAGAAACACCTGTTTTAAATGTTAAATGTTAGCTAGCACCAAATGACCAATTTAATCCTTGGAGCAAACTTACTTAAAAACAAGTTACAGAGCATTCTTAGGAAAATACCTGAGTCTTATGACACCAACTATACAATTGCTTTTCCTTCTCACAGACAAAAATTATGACCAGTAGTCTTAAGAAAAGTAAACTTTAGTTTATCCTTTTCTATAAGAAGACAAACTAAATAAAGTACAATCGTGAAGCCCTTTGTTTAGCCTCTACCTAATTAGAATGTGTTCCTTCGTAGTTCAGTTAAGCTAAAGAAAAGTAGAAAATGAGTTTTAAAATAGCAGAGGTCACAGCTCTTCTAAGATTCTATTTTTTCTTGTACACAGAAATTCTATCAGAGGATCATCTGAAGGATATTAACATTTTTCCATCTATCATACTTAAGGATGAAGTTATTTTTAGCACCCCATTAAATGGTATTAAAAACAAATTTAAGGCAAAAGTAAAATATTCAGTGATGGGGCCCTCCCTGGTGGCACAGCAGGTTAAAGCACTGCACTAAGAAGCTTAAGTCACTTCTGCATTGAGTTGGAGATCCACATGGCACCGCAGACCTCTCCTGACCTGCCCACTGCTCCCCTCAGCAGTGTACTTCGTTGATCTGCCTGTTCTGCACCCCGCTCTGTCTCTGGTGAATCCTCTCACCCTCCGCATCTCTGGCCTGTACCCCAGTTCTGTACGAATAAATAAATAAATCTTTTTTAAAAAATTCAGTGATGTCTGTTAAGAGTAGTAAGAAAACAAACCTTCACATTTTCATCTGTAATTCCTATAGAGAGTTGTCAGCAGTTCATGCTGGACAATGTCAACAACTAACTATAAGGTCAATAACTAATAATGTGAGCAGATGATACTGCATTGTATGTAGTCTTCAGCAGAAAGTTGTCGGTTTTTCTTAACATAATTTGTTAACAGTTAAAAAGTAGCTTTCTATTTTGACTAAACATTAAAATAATCATTTACGTACTCTTCTTAATATTTTTGGTTTGTGGATGTGGCTGAATTCCTCCCGCTGGAAGTCCATAGGTGCTTATTCGTTGCACAAGACTTGCTACATTCCCATGCCGTTCACGCTTAATGGGTAAACTATCATCCTTGGATTCTGTCTCTCTTTTAATCTCCTATAAAAGAATAAATCAGTAAACAGACAAATTAAACTGTATTTCAATACATTGCAAATGTAAAATACCCAAAAACAGGTAGTGATTATTATATGAAAGCTGAGATCAATAGTTTAGAAACCTTTTCTCTCCTGACACTACCAACAAGGCAACACAATGTGGGAAGAATGATTCATTATAAATTTAAATCTTGATAGAACCATCATGAAAACAATGTGAAATTTTATAGGAAGACACAAAAGGAGGCAAATAAAAAGAAATATATGCTGTGTTCAATGACTGAAAACTCATAAAGATGACATTCTCTCTAAAATCGATACAATGATACAATGCAATTCAATAAACAGATCAGATTTTGGAGAGCAACTCAAAAAACTGGTTCTAAATTTGTTTAGAAGAAAAAAAGGTCAAAGCCATAAGCATTTAAAAGGGGTTTACAGAGTGGAAACTTTAATCGTGATAAAAGGACAAAAACATGAGAAAATCGATGTGTGTGGTACTTATAGAAAAATAATATTGATAAATAATATTGACAAAAAAGAGTCCCAAGAAAGAAAAACTTGACTTAAGACAAAAAGTGAAGGGAAAAGTTCATTATTAAAATACAATAGTGCTGGTAAAACTAATGTTCTATAATTTGGGGTGAAAGGAATGAAATTAGATTCCTACCTCACATTCGATATTAAAATTAACAAATTTCTTCATTTTAAAAAAACATAAAAAAGAAAATAATTAGCTAAAAAGATATTATTTCACATCAACTTAAAAAGAACTTGTGGCTTCAGGCTTTTTATGGCTACCTACAATGTTAATCATTTTGTTATTCTCTGGTTGGTAGGATATCAGATGATTTTGATTTTACATGAAGACAAATTCTAATAGTTCCTTTTGGGGGTCTTTTTAATAATACATATAACTTTACCATCAGAAACAAAAAATTCTCATTGGATAAACTGTTAAGCTGATGAATTAGAAAAAGCACTGGAATTCAAATAATGAAATAGACAAAACATTTCATGACAGAATGCTTCAATTTTATTGCTAATATACTTAAGGAAAAGTACTTCAATTTGCTTTTAATAATACACGATATATCAATATCTAAAACCTTGCCAGTTTTCAGGCTGCACTTAATATTTGCAATCATAGGTAGTTATAACCTCAACATTCCAAAGATAATCATTTCAGATTCTCCTGTCTCATGAACTACCTACTTTCCTAAAATTAAGTAAGCCATACTTCGGAGGGCGATTGTTTCTTTCCAGATCAGAAGATCGAAAATTTGGCCTGACAATCAAATCTTGTTTCTCTACAAAAATGACTGCAATTTGACCATCATAGTTAAGAGGGCAAGTTCAAGAACAGATGACTATGTTTGTATCTTAGTTCTACACTGTTCACTAAATACATAACTTTTGATATTTGTAATCTTTTAATAAAGCCATGTAAATACATACAATTCTAAGATAATGTCCCACTTCTTTCTATAGTCAATTTATAACATATTTGAAGATTTAAAAACATTTTAAGGTTCCTTTACAATATTCTCTGAAACATAACTGTATCTATGAATATTAGATGTAATAAGTCTTCTGAATATTAGACATAATAAATCTGATATAAAGGTGGGAAAGGAAGTTAAAAATATATACTGCCTACACTGAATAGGGAAAACTCGGTTTTACAGTCTTCCCAGTACACAGTGCCAATTAAAATATTACCACAGTAGCAAAGGACCACAAGGCTCTGGCAATAATGGTAATAATGCTTGCTCTGTATGCCACTTCCTTCTCTTGAATCTCTTCTCTTCTACAAACTCCAAGAACTACAATTATTCATTCCATCCCTTCCCTCTCTCTTTTCACTCACATCCACTCGCGGTTAGCTCCTGGCCACACAGAGCCTCCAAATTACACTTAATTATCATCACCAACAGCAAATTTTACTGAAAATCCATGAACTATTAATAAGACTTCTAGCATTCTTCCTTCTGTTCCTCATTTCCTTTTACTCAGTTAGTAAATAAATACTATTAACACTGTCAATCTTTTTTCTGCCAACTTCAATTCCTTGCCTGACTTTTTAAAATGACTCCCGGAGGCCAAGTAAGAGTCCTCAATTAGAGAGTATCATGTGTTCATAAAGCAAATTCAGAAACATTCTCTCACTGTTTAGACTAGGTAATGTCAATACAGAAGTGACTAAGAAAAAAATACATGGAAAATCTCCACATCAGTAAGATGTAATTTGTTTCACAAATAAGGTATAGGAAGTAGCAAATTAAAGGAAGATGAAAAATATAAACAAATGAAGGGAGGGCCTAAAAAAAATGGAGAGAATATATTCTTCATCTATTAAGGCAATGTAAGAAACTAACCTTTAAGTGCACTAACTTATAAAACATATAGAATATATATGATAACTTATAAAAAATAATCATCAAAATTTAGAAACCACTCAATCAGTACTATGGCTACATAATAATTGGTTGCATGACCAAGGCCAGTGCATTATCATGATCTGAAAATAGAAAGCAGTAACTTCCATAATATATAATCAAAGGTCACAAAAAGTAATAAAACCAGATTAGAGGGGCCAAGAGTTTCTTTGTACTTCTCAAAAGAAGTTATCTAGTCAACAAATTGTAAACAAGGTTCAGATCCACTTATGCTAAATAAAAGGAATATATTTAATTAATTTTAATTTAACATTCAGAATTCCCAAAGGTATATTATAGAACTAGTACCTCCCACTTTAAAAAGTAAAATTACCAACAGGAAAACCCTCTTTAATACGAAATAAATGTGTACCTTCAGCATGCCAACAAATGAAAATCATCAAGAGAAACAATGACAGCATAGTATTTTGAAAGTGTCTATACCTATTCTCCATCCCACCTCCCAAATTTGCTGCTAGCCACATTATGCTATTTTTCCAATTTGCACAAAGGGTCTCCCTATTTCAACTGCCCCTCCGCTATTTAGAAAAGGCAAAAGTAGGATAAGAGGAGGAAGTTTTATGTACATTCATTGTCCATGTCATCCTACTTTTTCCTTTTCTATCACAAGAATGTTAATGAGAGCCATGTGGAGAGGAGTGAGAAAAACATTAAAGAAAGACCTCTTCTCTCTTCTCTCACCAATATTCTTCCAGACATATCACATTCAGTGAAATGTATTAAAAAATACCCCAATAATTCATAATGGTCACATTTTTCATGCCTGTTTCATTGGTTTAAAAAATGTTATTTGTGCTTCAAAGCACTATGATGAAGGGGGATTTAGGATAAAAACTGCAGGAGCTTAGGACTACTGTGTCTATGACTTTAAAGATTTCAAGTCTATAAGGAGATTCTTCTCTCAAAGCTGCAAGATTACTTCAGGCCACAGACGACTCTGATAAGCAAGCACTGACTGATGACTGAAGAAGCAAAACTAAGAGATAAACCAGAAACCCAGGTTCTGGTACTCAAGCTTTCCTGCTTTATTTCTACAATTTGAAATACTTTAGCATAAACAAAATTAATACATTATAAAATATTTGGTGGGTCCACAAATAATGCTGCAAGTCAAACTACTCCAGGTTATTTCAAAAACGAATTTAGTTTTATACTCCCATTACTACATCTAACTACTTAACACATTTTTTCTAACATACATTTATCAACCAATTTGTTTGTATATGAATATATTCTAGTTAGGATTCAGAATATGACTGAGAATAACCCAAGTCACGGAACAAATTTTGCTTAACTAATGCACAGAGTTAATGTTTTAAGGTATCTAACAAAAACTGTGATACTATGATACTCAACTTTCACATATTCAATGTTTTTAATTAATTCCTACTAAGCAAGCAAAGTTGTCTTCACTTAGTACTCTGATACTGATAAGGACAGTTTTCTTCTCTGATCTTTATCCACTTAATGAAGTAAATCAAACATGAAATGTTGTTATCCTGATACAAAACGAGCTTCCTGAATTGTTCTATTAGTTACCATAATTCACCTCCTAAAAGTTCCAGTTTAAAAAAAAATTACTGAGGTCTACCCATGCAAACTAACAAAGTAAGGCATTCACAAAAATATAAGTAAAAAACAAACTGCTTTTTCCTTTGTTCAAATAATTCTTATGGGAACAGCTGAATACTAAATGATTTTTAAATTAAATTAGCATTCTCCAAGGGGAAAAAATGGTATAGAGGAAAAAAAAAAGACCCTTCAAAGTAATCATGCACAACAGATGATCTTATTCTCTACATCATCCTATAGTTTTTCTTTAAAAACAGTTTTTATAAAAACCACAATATATTTAAAGATCTAACATCTATGCAGGCATTTAACCTATGGAGTCTAGAAGCAACAAACATTTTTAAATGCACTATAAATTACCGAACTGCCTAATTTTTTTTTAAAAAAAACAAACTCAACAATTTCACTTTTTCTATATGAGAAAAAAAGTCTAGAAATTTAGTTCAAAAAGAAAAAACACCCAAATAATTTTTATTCATTTGACAGCCTCCTAAAATACTTCAGTGTAAAAAAACTTCTGTTTCCTTCTTGCTTATTGTATCTAGAGACCTAAACAAAATTTATCAAGTTCAAAGAACTCTTTAAAAGGAATTAAAATTTTGTTTAATTTATACTATGAAGAACAGCAGTTCACTTACCAGTACCTGACTCGACATCTGTGAACATATCCATTTATTTTTTTAAATACCAAAGTAAAAACTTTATAATAACAACAGATTGTGTAGCACCTCCAAGAACAGAATACTTCACAGAAAAGCTGTTCTGCAGCTTGAAGACCAGCACCCTCTATCCACAAATACTATCTTGCTAGCATTCTTTTAACTACAGCTAATAAAAATATTATTTAAGTTCTTTTGATATATTATTTCATTTTTTACTTCTCCTCTTTCTCTATAACACCCTATGTGTCAATACTTGTAAAATTACCTTCTACAGCAGTTCTCTTCTCCTTCTCCACCCCAAACTTCTCTGACTCATTCAGATCACTCATTCAGGTGATCAGACTATGCACTCTATCTTGTATGAAATTCATCAGTGAACAAAGTACAAATGCTATAACTAGTCATGTGTCAAAACTTAAAAGAAAGTAAAGGGTATCAACCACACTATTATCTTTTAAGTGAATGTTAACCAATCAGTCTGTTAATGGTAACTTGTATTAACTATCCTATTCTGAACAATGGCTCCATAACAACACTTAAAAAAAAAAAGTTATTCTCATACTATCTCTAAAAGGAGAAAGTTCAGTAATTTTTGAGTTCTTAAGATTTCACAAATGTACAATCGAATCTCCGCTAAAATGCATCTCGATCAAAAGGTTCCCCATGCATTCCCCATGGTTCAATATACAATACAGTTTAAAACTCTGGATCTCACATATTAAAAAAAGAATTCTAAAGGGTGAAGACAAGAAGGTAGGTCGGTCAGGAAGACCCAATTCCTTCTTTACCCAATTCACAGCAAATGCATTTTATAGACATTGCAACTGTACTCAACAAGTCTGCTGGCTATTTCTAATGCATGTGCTCATTTCGTGTCTGTTTCACACTGCTAATTCCCACCATATTTCAAACTTTTTCATTATTACTGAACCTGTTATGGTGTTGATTGGTGACTAGTGATCTTTGATGCTACTATAAGTTTCATGACATCATGAAATGTGCCTATAAGATGGCAAACTTACTTCAATGTATATACATTAAAAAAAGAAAGCAAGATTGATGAAAGACATACTGAAATCAAACTTTTAAACTTTAAGTTTAAAATTTAAGAGTGTATCTTTAATTACCTCCCTGTTCCTAAACTAGACAAAGTCACTTACGAAGGCAAGAAACACTTATGAAGGATGAAAGAAATATATTCAGGAAGAATACAAAGAGCTAGTTTTCACAATATACTAGGCATTACTTACAAATCAATTAGAAAATAAGGATGAAATGAGAAAAAAAAGGAATAAAGGAAAGGCAAGAGGGAGAGAAAAAAGAACGAATATCTAATGGAACTAAATCTGAATTAGAATAAATTGTGCTACTGCTAAGTCTGTGAGAAATTTAACATCAATAAAGTTGATTATGTGAATAACCCTCATGCAGCAAATTCTTAACTATGCAGATAGCCCCTGATGGTTTTGACTTTAAGATGACACAAAACAACATGAACTCAATTAAAAAAAAAAAATTACTTTTCTGGAGCTAACAATATGTGCTATTATACTCTTGTGATTTTCAGCAATGATAACTTATCATAGTACCTGGTCAGTCACCAGGGTAAACTACCAATAATATACAGTGTAAAATGCCGCCAGCATAATTTTGAATACTGTGTTTTGTGTTTCACATGCCATCATGTCTGGATTTCTCACTCTCAAAAAATAACATGAGATACTCAACACCTTATTATAAAGTAGGCTTTGTGTTCAATGATTTTCTCCAACAGTAGGCGAATGTAAGTGAGAATATTTAAGGTAGCCACAGCTAAGCTATGATATTTTGTATGTGAGCTGTATTCAATGCATTTTCCAATTATGATAGGTTTATAGTCACGTAATCTCATTGTAAATGAAGTTCCGTCTATACCCTACAAGAGGATGTTAACTGCAGCATTGTTTTTAAAAACTACAAAAATTTATAACTTTAAATATATATGAGCTCAAAGATACAACAAAATACTATGCAACTATTTAAAAAAATGAACTAATGCTGTAAGAATTTCTACCATAACACTATATATGTGTTAATGGTAACTTGTATTAACTATCCTATTCTGAACAATGGCTCCATAACAACACTTAGAAAAAAAAATTATTCTCATACTATCTCTAAAAGGAGAAAGTTCAGTAATTTTTGAGTTCTTAAGATTTCACAAATGTACATACGAATCTCCGCTAAAATGCATCTCGATCAAAAGGTTCCCCATGCATTCCTAAACATCTGACATCCTAAAACATAGCACATACCACTGATTATGTGAAAATTTCTAAATCAAACACTAAAAATATGTGATTAGGTTTAATTCCCGACTATCTAGCTTTTCTCAGTTGTTTTCTGAGATAAAACACAGCCAAATGATATGTAGTTAGCTCTCTGAAGTCAATGAAGTCAATAAACAGTCAAGAGATAAAACCACAACTAAAATAAAAATTTATACAGGAAACAAATATTTACCATAAACGACAGTTTTGTGTAGGTGTTCTAACAATGACTATGCAGTTTCAAACATGGGGGGGGGGGTCTCCAGGTAGCCTAGGGATTAAGTCTTAGCACTATTACTGTTACCTCCTGAGTTTGATCCTAGCCAGGGAGCTAACCTACATGGCTCAGCAGACATCTCCTGCGTCACCTGCTGCTCCTCTTAGCAGTGTAATTCAGTATTTTCACCTGTTCTGTACCCTACTATGTTACCACACTTCTGGCCTACACCACAGTTCTTCTATGCATAAATAAAAAGTCTTTAAAAAAGAGAGAGAATAGACACATACTCTAGCCTTCCCAGAAGAATGCAATCATAATCTATTGAGACCAAGCATGAAATCTGGGTATAAGAAATGTTACACATAAAAAAAGACAATTATAAGTGAAATGTAATTAGACTATATTTTTTCCCTCTGTAAACTATTAAAACTTAAAAAGTTCTCAAAAAAAAAAAAAAGAATCGGCTAATTTTTGGCAGCAATAATGAGAATATTTACTTTAAAAGAAGTTTGGTGATAACTGAAGAATAACTGTTATTCTGGTGAAGAAATACCACAATGCTGAAATTTAAAACTAAGAACTTAATACATTCTCAGAGAGGCCAAAAAAGCTAAAAAGACTGTAGACATTTCAATAAAGAAGAACTGAGATTTCAGTTCAGATTTCCTCTTCTTAACTATCCAATGTTAAGTAAACCGTTTAGTCTCTGTACACCACCATATTTAAAATTTATCTAAAACACTTTAAATATACTGATGTGTTCCTTAAAGATTAAATCCAATGAGGCAACAGTGAGAAATTTAGTTGAAAATACTTACCTTAACAAAATTATCAGGAAACATTCCTCTTCTCCCATTTAGTTCTCCTTCTAGCCATCCTTCCTCCTGCAGTTTTTTCACGTTCCTGATGATTTCCCCAACTCGAATAGTTAGTTCATCATCATGTACAGCATCATAGTCATACTCCACAATAAAGTCAACTAAAAAATAAAAAAATACTTAAAACTTAATTTATGAAATATTACGGACCACATTAGCAACTTAAACCTAAAGAATTCACTCAGCAACAATATTATAAAGAAATCATTAAAGCCTATTTCAATGCTTTTATATGTTTGGCTATGTCCGCAGATTTCTTCATTTATTATAAAGAACAACACAAGTTTTAAGTAAAAGCTTTAATACAATGAATAATCCATGTCATTATGTACTTATAGTCAGATATAACCTCTGTGACAAACTCTAAGGTGGTCCCCATTTCTTCATATTATATCCTTGCATAATTCCCTCTCAAATATGGATATAACCTATGACTTATTTCTAAACAACATAATACCACAACAATGACAGATTGTATGTGACTATTTAAAACTGTAATGTCCATCTTGCAGGGAAATTCTCTCACTGGCTGGTTTTAAAGACACAAGTTTCTACGAAATGAGCTGGCCTACTTACAAAAGATTACACACAAGCAACTGATAAGAGAACAGAATGATACCAACAATGTGAGCTTTGGAGTAGATCTGTAACAGGGTGACAGCCAGGGAGGTAACAGGTTCCCTATCCTAGCCAAGAGAAGATGCACATGGTCAGGGAAGAGAGGAAACTGGAGAGAAGACTGAGAAGAAAGGAGAGTTAAAAGGAGACCTGGAAGAAGCACATAGAGCAGAGATATGTGAAGAAGCTGCACTTGCTTCTTGGCCTTGGACTGGCTGAAACAGATGTAGGTGCGAGACCCATGGGATGTTAACAATGGCAACTTTTGTCTTGATTTTGGGCCTTCTGTCCTAGATGTGCTGAGCTCCTTCTGTCCCTTTCCTCTGGGTCCCCACCAGAAGGTGCCTTAGTCTTGTGACAGGCTTTCAGGTCTCAGTGACCCTGCTCTGGGCAGACCCTGTTTGTCTAAGCATTTAACCAGGAAAGGATGGGTAATGGATGCTTGATTTGGAAACTTATTCTTTGGATTTTTTCTTTGTTACATGCTAGCTGCATTAAAATCCCTTCCCATTACAGGTCTTATACCTTTTGTGATGACAGAACATATTTAGAACAGTTAGGTTTACAGTTCCTGGGGTGTTCCTTTCCCTGTCCTGTAACAACAGGTACAACCCTGTTACAGACCCTCCCAACTTAAGAACCCAGCCCTGGCCAACTCTGATTTCAGTCTTGAGAAGATCTAATTAGCTATGCCAACACTGCTAAACCACAAAAACTGTGAGAATATATATATGTGTGTGTGTGCATATATATGTGTGTGTATACATACATACACACACACACATACACACACATATATAATTTTAAGATGCTAAATTTGAGGCCATATTGTCACAGAACAACAGAAAAAGAATATACACTGAAATGAAAGTTAACAAGGTTCTGTTTCAATTCCTTTATGTATAAGATTTTAGCCACCATACACACATACGCACACACATGCAAACACCATTAGTTTCTTTATAGGGTTTAATAAAAGAAAGTAAAAGTATTTTCTATTTAATATGACAGCCTAGTCATACCCATCTTTTCATCTTCCTATAAGAATGATAAGAAAAAAGAACACACACATACAAATACAACCAAAAAGTAAAAAAGGGAAATGTGGGCAGACTGGTGATTGTTGCTATTTCCACACTAACTCCCCCTTCCTTACTTCTCACTGAGCCATGATTTTGTTCAGGTATTTTAAGACCCTATACTTTTAAAAGTGAAGTTTCTCTTAGTCCCAGGGGGTTAAATATTGACTAGTCTAGACAATTAATTCTCAAGCAGAAGTGACAGAGTATCATTTTGACTTGCAGAAGTGATCTTATTGATCACTTTAAACAAGATTAGTAAATCCTGTTTAAATGTGGACTGAGTAGATCCCAGGATACCTAATACTGCTGGGCCAAGAAACAAAGATCTAGTGGTACTTGATCAATAGCAATTCCATCCATACAGGCATAAACAGTTTTGAGAAACTAGTACAGGCATTATGAATGAAAGAATGTTGATTTCTTAAAAGAAGTGACAAATGAGTCCCACAGAACACAGATACCTATTCAACAATGGGAAGCTAACCAACTGCTTAATCTAAAAGTAAAAACTCAAGTCGTACCCACATAAACTGAATTTCCCAATCAACTTTTATTTTTAGCATTAGTCCTAATTATGATCAGAACAGAGTTAACTATGAAACATGATAAACTGAAAAATTATTTCTAGATGAATCACCTATTTATCTCTCCCCACCCAACTCCCTATTTCTAGAACAATTTAACCCAAACAACATTAAATGTGGAAGAGTACAGTAGTACAGAGGGAAGGTCTGCTGTAGTATGAAGGAGATTAAGAACAGTAAAGAGGTTGTCCAAAGCTGGGTGTGGGCTGAAGTGAAGCTGTATCAGAGCCAGAGTGGGGTGAGATAGGCAACCACATATGGAGGTGTTCCCAGTGCAACATATCAGAACCCCAAGGCAAGGAGTAGAACGCATTTGTGCTAGCTTTGTCATATGTCAGAATTCAGGCACAGAGGAAGCAGGTTTCCATGAGGGTTGTAAGAAGGTAGCACCAACCAGAATGGGAAGTACTACTAGCCTAAGCAGGTTATGTGAATCCAAGGGTGGGAAGTGACAGCAGAGATGGAAGATTGGATACATTCAGGGGGACTAATCAAAAAATATATATTAAGGATAATAAAAGTCAATATTTTTATGGAAATTATAAACGTAAGGGGGGAAAGCTAGTTCAATTCTCTGATATTAAATGGAAGTATGAACTTATAGTCTCCAATACACAGATTATATACACATATTCCTTATCTCTCTGACACTAAAAGTGCCTGAAAACAGTGACAATTCATTGTCAGTGAATAAATACAATGCTGAGCTCTTCTAAGTGCTAATTTTTACTTATTTAAAAAAAAAAAAAGCAGGAATCCCTTGGAAAATATACAACTTTAGGGTAAAGGTAGGAAATGTCCTACCTTAAAGAAAATGTCATCTTAAAAATGAGATGATGCCAAAGGACACAGAAAAGTACTATTAAAGTCAAACATCAAAATAGAGACACCAACAGACTGTTCTCCAAAGAATAAAGAAACTGTGAGTCCATACATGTATAAATGTTAATATTTTTAATTTGATAGTTTGAAACTGGGATTAAGAAAATATACATATCTGTAGAAATTACACATTGAAATATTCAAGAGAACAGTAGGGGAAAAATTCTTGTACTATATGTCTAACATCTCTACAATTTTCTTCTTCAAAATAAAAATTTAAACATCTATGCAAATTTCTATATTTAGGAGATGTAATGAAGTTCATAAACTTTGTGATATGCTATAGAATGCTATGAAATGGAATGTTATAAAAAAATAAAAAGAGGTTGAAAATTTATAACATCCAAAATGTTATTGAGTTAGCAACAAACTTAAGAAATCCCTTGGGGAAAAAAAATAGTAAAGCAGAATGAAGACAATGACACAAATGATCAATCTAGACAATTTGACATCCAGACAGGAGTTTGCAGGAGGGAAAAAAAAAAAAGTAGAGCTTTAACAATGAAATAATAAACCACTCCAAGCTAAGTACAACACGTCTTCAAAGAGAAGAGTCCAAGCAATGGGCACATAAAAAAATAAGTATCTACATCAGGGTGAAATTTCACAATAAAGATTTAATATATCCTAGAAAGTTATCTGAAAGGAAATGGAGTTCAGCTACAAATTAATGACAATATTTGAAGACTTCTCAGCAGCAACACCAGATTGTGAAAAAACAATAATAAAAAGATAGCCACTTAGGGCTCTCCCTAGCGGCGCAACAGGTTAAAGCACCACACTATGATGAAGCTCTCAGAAGCCACTGCAGCACTAGTTCAATCCCCAGCCGGGGGCTGACCCAGATGGTGTGGCTCTCCTGCCTACCTGCTGCTCCCCTCAGCAGTGTATTTCATAGATCTGCCTGTTCTGTTCCCCACTCTGTCTCTGGTGAATCCTCTTACCCACCACACTTCTAGCCTGTACCCCAGTTCTGTAAACATAAATAAATCTTAAAAAAAAAAAAGATAGCCATTTAAGTATTGAAAGAAAATTAATTCCATACTCAACCAAATCAACAGGCAAGTATAGGTATAACACTTCACACAGGGAAAAACAAAGAAAATTAACTGCTACTATGAAATTATATTATCCAGAAAAATTAAAATAGGAGCCAAAATAGACAAAAAGATGAAATCCAAAATCTAGCAGGGCCAGTCTTAAGGAGAGTATGCACTAATATAGCAATTTTGCAACAAAACTAAAGAAGAAATTCAGACTAAGCAGGAGACAGTTCTAAGAAGAATTTTTTTGTAAAGAGCTAAAGTGTCAAATTATACACTACAGTTAAGAAAATGCATCCAAGAGACAATAAAGCCAGATAAGGAGAAAAGTGATTAGAAACTGCCAGGAAGTAAAGAGCATACAAAGTTTAAAATAAACATGGTAAAGCAGACCTCTCCCATCTGGCCTGCTGCTCCCCTCAGCAGTGTACTTCTTCACTCAGCCAGTTCTGCTCCCCACTCTGTCTCTGGTGAATCCTCTCACCATCCCTGCACCTCTGGCCTGTACCCCAGCTCTGTATGCATGAATAAATAAATCTCTAAAAAAAAATCTATGAGCAGATGTATATAACAACAACTACTAGAAAAACCCAAATGGTCTTCAATAGACAGATACTATTAAGAGCAAAAATATTCTCCAACTTCTGCTATTAATGGGATATGGTTCAAGATATCAAGGAAAAATATTCATAATAAGTAAAAGGCATATTATCAAGTGGCATGTTATGCTATCTTAATTTCTGTAACAGGGAGAAAGTAGATGTGCTTAGAAAAAACTGAATGCAGAAATTCACAAATGAAAATATTGAGTGAATTAAGTTAAATTACTCTTATACTATAGAATTATACCTTGACTTTCGTAAGTTTTACTCACTTTAACAAACTCTATACT